TCATCATCATCATCATCATCATCATCCTCATCCTCATCCTCATCATCATCATCATCATCATCAGCAGCAGCAGCAGCATCATCCTCATCAGCAGCATCGTCAGCGTCATCAACAACCTCAAAAGCATCATCCTCACCGTCATCTGCATCATCAGCAGCATCGGCATCATAATCATCATCCGCATAATCACCAGCATCAGCATCAGCATAATCATCAGAATCAACATAATCAGCATCATCGGCATGATCATCAGCGGCATCATCGCCATCATGAGTATCAGCATCATCACCATCAGAATCAGCATCATCATCAATATCTTCATCAGAAGCAGTATCTGCATCATCATCATCATCATCATCATCATCACCACCATCAGCAACATCATCATCACCAGCAGCAGCAGCATCAACAACATCATCAGCATAATCATAATCTCCATCATCATCAGCGGCATCATCTCCATCAGCATCATCATCATCACCATCATCATCAGCAGCGACATCAGCAGCATCATCAGCATTATCATCATCAGCATCTGCAGCAGCATCAGCATCACCATCGGCAGCATCATCATCCTCATCATCCGATTCATAAGAACATCCTCATCATCCTCACCATAACCACCACCACCACCACCATCATCGTCATCATCATCAGCATCCCCATCATCAAAAATCATCATCATCATCAGCTTCATATCATCCTCACTATCATCATCATCATCATCAGCCTCAGCATCATGATCATCATCATCAGCAGCAGCATCAGCATCATCATCATCAGCAGCATCATCAGCATCATCGGAAGCATCATCAGCATCATCATCATCATCATCATCATCATCATCATCATCATTACCATGATCATGATCAGCATCATCAGCATCATCGTCATCAGCATCGTCATCATCATCATCAGCATCTCCATCACCATCATCACCACAATCATCATTATCATCAGCCTCATCATCATCATCGTCATCAGCATCATCCGCATTATCATGAGCACCAGCATCATCATCACCATCATCATCATCAGCATCATCATCTCCATCATCTTCATCATCATCACCATCCGCTTCCTCCCTGTCGCACCCCGAGGCTGGCCGGACGGGCCGGGCGTTTCGCCCTACCACTCATGATCCTGAATCTTGGAAATTTGCCACCATTTCACAGAATGTGGCACTCGCCTGAACGCGGCGCACACTCGTCTTTAAAAACTACCAGGAGCTTCACGGATTGAGGAAGGGCCGCTTTTAAAATATAGCTCTCGCCCTAACGCTGCGACTATTCGAAGCAAATGTTTGCAAGACCTGCGCGGATTGAGGACGGCTCTGTTTCAAAATGCGACTCCCGCCTTAGCGCCGCGCAAATTCGCCTCGGGCATTTGCAAGAGTTCTGCGAGTTCCCATGGTTAACCTACCAGAGATGCTGTTTTGGAGCGACTCAGGATTGCCAAGGCACAACTGTTACGCTGTTTCGAGGTGACCTGCCAGGGATAATGTTCTGGCACGACACAGGAACGCCGAGACGCGACACTCATGTCAATTCGTGGCGTTGGGATCCTGAGAATGGTCTTTTGGCGCGCTCCAGGATTTTCACACGGTTGTCCCCCAACGGGGCCAATCCATCGATGGACATGAACCTTCGTGGGGGCATATGAAGAAAGAGCTTGGACGGAGCTGTATTCCTACATCGTCCATGCGTCTTGGGTTTGGACTGGTTATCCTCCTCCTGCTCCTCTTCCTCCTCCTCCTCCTCCTCATCCTCCTCCTCCTCCTCGTCCTCCTCCTCCTCGTCCTCCCCCTCCCCCTCCCCGTCCCCCTCTCCATCCTCCTCATTTTCCTCCTTCTCCTCCTCCTTTTCCTCCTCCCCTTCCTCCTTTTCCGCCTCCTCCTCGTCAGTTTGCTCCTCCTCCTCCTCCTCCTCCACCTCCTCGTCCTCATTATCCCTATTATCCGCCATCCCTTTTCCTTGGCAACAATGTTCTTGATCCACCCCGAGGCCAGTCGGAAAGGCGGGGGGGCGTTTCGCCTCAGGTTTCCCTGCCACCTGCGAGCCTGAAACTTAGAGACTGGCAACCGTTTCACACATGGAAGGCGCGTGGTATTCAAGATGTTGTTCTCGCCATAGCGCCGCGCACATTCGTTTGTAAAACTGGCGAGAGATACACGGATTGAGGTCGGGCCGTTTTCAAAATGAAGCTCTCGCCCTAGCGCCGCGCACACTCGTCGTATAAAAATTGCAAGAGTTTACCGGTTGACGGCCCGTCGGTTTCTTTTACATGTGGTTCTCGAACTAGCGCCGCGCACACTTGTCTCAAAGGAAAGTTCGCTTTTCACGGAGTGGGGGGGCGATTCCTTCTCAAACTGTGGTGTTCGTCTTGGCGCCGAGCACCTTTGTTCTGACAATCTGCAAAGGTTTCACTGATTGCCACGGCGAACGTTCAAGAAGCGGGGTTTTGGAACGGTTCAAGACTATCAGGGCGCGACAGATAGGTTAATTCGCGGTGTTGAAGTCAAAGTAATGGTGTTTTGGCAGGGCTCTGGATCGCCAAGACGCAACAATTATAGGAATCGTGGCGTTGAAATCCTGAGAGTGTTGTTTTGGCACACTTCAGGGTTTTCACACGATTCTCCCCCAACGAGGTGCTTCCCTCAATGGATATGAGCCCTTGTTGGGGCCTATGAAAAGGAAGCGCGGAGGAAGGCTGTATCGCAACACCCTTCATGATCCTTGGGTTTACAGTGCTCCTTTTCATCATACTCGTTCTCCTCCTTTTCCTCCTCCTCTTCATTTTCCTCCCCCTCCTCATTATCAGATTCTTTCTCCTCCTCCTCCCCCTTCTTCTTCTCCTCCTCCTCCGCCTTTTCCTCCTCCTCCCCCTCCTCCTCCTCCGCCTCTGCCTCCTCATTGTTATCTTCTTCCTCCATTCCTTCTCCTCCTCCTCCTCCTCCTCCTCCTCCTCCGTTCCTCTTCCTTATAAGTAATTCCTCCCTGTCGCGCCTCGAGTTCGGTCGAAAGGGCTGGCCATGCGTTTCGCTCGAGGCTTTCTCACCACTTCTGACCCTCAAACTGAATAGCTGGCAACAGTTTCACGAATGGAGCGCGGGTGGTTTTCAAAATGTTGCTCTCGCCTTAACGTCGCGAACGCTCGTCTTAAAAACGTGCACAGTCTTCAAAGGGTTGTAGGCGGCTCGTGTCCAGAATGTGGTTATCGCCTCAGCGCCACGCACATTCGTATGCAAAAGGTTCACGTATTGGCGGTGGGTCCTCGTTTATGGTTCTCCCGCCGTAGCGCCACGTCTTAAAGAATGTCAGGGTTTCACGGATGGATGGCAGGTTTCACGGATGGAAGGCATGTGGTCACCCGATGTGGAATGTCTCCAACAGTTCGAGCTGTGATGTCCCATCTCACCAACTGCCTGCACGATCCCCAACCACTCCGAATCTCTCCGGACCGCACAAGCAGGCAAGGCCTGCATGGAAAGTTGTGAGGGACCATGAACCTGATGCAAACTGACCACCTCGCAATGAAGCTGGCCCAAGAACATTGTGCACAGAAACATCCTGCCACCTTGGTGGTAAACTTGCCGCGCTCTCCGAGTCGCCCGCTGAACCCTAGGAGAGTATGCCTCATCCTCCCGTTGGCCCCTCCGTTGCATCCGCCTCAACATATCATTCTCCCGTGGGTTGCATAATGCGTACAAATCCGTACAGAAAAACCACCCAGACGAACCATACGTTGCAAATGGCACTACTCTGCAAAAATACAACTCCGTCATGCGTTTCTGAAAGTAAATATGTATGCCAAGGTGGTGAAACGAATTTGCCCAAAGAACCGACGAAGCCTTGGCCAAGCGGTGCCTCGTGGCCGCTGCATGATCAGAACGAGTGCCAACAAGTTCCCCAAGACATCTACTGCTGGAACGCACTCTACATGATGATGGTCGGGTCCATTTTCTTGGACAATCAATCCAGTTGGCCCAAGCGCGCATCCGTATGCAAGATGCTTCAAAGACTTGGGATTCCAACCGAAACCACTCAAACCCATCTCCCGGTCAGACTCGCAATCATGGTCGTCACGTCGTGCACCGACGTCCCGACGAACAACACATTGTCTGCCCTATCCGCATGGTTGAATAAACCTACACGTGGGATGACCACTCCAAAGCCCGCAGCCTCCCAATCAACGATGCAGTTCCGGCTTAACATCCGCACGACAAGGTTGAACAGCAATGGCGACTCGATTCTGCACGGCCGGACGGCCTTGTCGGACGGGATACGTTCAGAAGTGGACAGGTCCCCCAGAGACACCTCGCACATCGGGCTCACCAGCTCTGCATCCATGCATAAAGCAAGATGTGGAGGAACGCCCCAGACCTGCACGGCCTCCAGAACAGTACGGGGTCTGACGTAGTCAAAGCCCGATGAGATGTCCGCAATCAAAATGTATAGAGGCTGATTTCACCTGCACTCTCGGCCCACCATTCCAAACATCTGTAAAGACGTGGATATATGCTCACACAAATGGCCCTCGACATATCCAAAAGTAAGTACACGATCCTATGGTCCACGCCGTAGACGTGGAGTGTGCTGTTTCGCCAGCTCGACCAAGCAGGCCATGTAGAACTTGTCGACAAAATCTACGAACGAAATGCCCTGGAAATCGTCCAGCACTTCTGGCCTGTACTTTGCGATCAGAGTGATCACGATGTCTGTCTGACATACTTCCGCCTCTTCCCTCTCGTCCTCCTCCTTCCTGCTCTCCCCGCCCGAGACAGACGACTGCAATGACGAGACCGACGATGAGACCGACGAAGCCAACGACGACGACGACGACGATGACGACAACGACAACGACGACGACGATGACGACGACAAGGCCGCCGCCGCCAAGAAAAACGACGATGACGAGGACAACGACGAGGCCGTCAACGACGACGGCAAAGACGACGACGACGACGACGACGACCGGCCGAGATTGAGGCCCCCGGCGACCTGCGATGCGGCCAGGCTGTCCGGGAGGGAGCTGCACGACCTTCACCACTCCAGACCGTCGCCGCCGCCGCCGTCGTCGCCGTCGGAGTCGGAGTCGGAGTCGTAGTCCTCCCCCTCGTCGACGTCATCGTCGTCGCCGCCGCCGTCGTGTTCGCCGCCCTCGTCCTAACACTCCTCGTCCTCCTGCCCCTGAGGGAAAAGGAAGGAAGAAATGGACCTGGGAGCGAGGGGCGAGGAAGAAACAGGTGGGAACGTTCTGCAAACCACAGCCCGGGTCACAGCAGAGGGGAAGAAGAGAAGGAGGAAGGAGGCAGGGGCGAGGGGAGAGTGGGGAGGGGGGGCAGCAGAATGGGACCAGACAATGGCATAAATACGAAGACGCTTCGGTCCAATGCCATTGCTTGTTCCCCAAAGAAGGGAGGACCGAGAGGCGGAGGAGACCCTGCGAGCGCTCCGCACGGTCATCGAGAGACATGCCAGCTAAACCGCTACACCAGTCACTCTCCACATCATCAGCATGATCATCATCACCGTCATCATCACCATCCCCATCACCCTCACTATCATCATCATTATCAGCAGCATCAGCAGCATCAACAGCAGCATCATCACCACCACCACCACCACCCTCACCATCACAAGCACAATCACAATCATCATCAACAACAACCTCACCGTCACCACCACCACCACAACCAGCATCATGACCACCATCCTTGTCAAACTTACCACTATATTGGTGATCATGATCATCATCGTCGTCATCATCACCATCGCTTCTCCCATATTCCTCCTCTGCCTGCTCCTCCTTCCCAGAATAATTCAATCGACATACGACTTCTTCTCTCCCACGACTGGGTCCTGGAAGTGTCCCACTTTCTCCGTGTACTGGTTGTCGACACAAAGGAAGCCATACATTGATATGCACTATGGTTTGAAATCGAAACGTGTGGGGTTTCAAAATGGTGTGCCTGCCGCAGCGGTGGCCTCCTTGTAAGATCGGCGCTTTGCTCCCGTCGTCCAGAATGACACGTTCGCCCCAGCGCGGGCCACTGTTCTGCATCGGGGCTACTCATCGTCGTTGTCGCCCCGCGCCTTTCCCTTCCCCCGCCTTCCCCTAGTCATCCTGCTCCCCGCGTTCCTCCAAACCCCGTTCCTGCTCGTGCTGCTGATGCTTCTCATCGCCCTCATCCTTCCGCATCCTTGTCTTCTTCCTGCTCAGCCGCCACCCCCCCTCCAAAGTACACAGCTCCAGATTCCCAATTGCGCATGCCACCATGGGGTCAGCGTAGGGGGTCCCACGCCAGCTGCGACACCCGTCAGCAGATGGCAAAGGTCACAAAATCAGCGCAATGGGAAGAGATGGGTTGGAGGGGTAGGATGTCAGGTATAGCGCGAGCGCACCTACCTTCCTTCTCTCCTCTCTCCTCGTTCCTCCTCGTCCTCCTCCTCTTCCTCCTCTTCTCTCTACTCTGATTCCTCGTATTCCTCCTTCTCCTCCTCCTCCTCATAATCATCATCATCATCACCACCATCACCATCACCATCACCATCAGCATCATCATCATCATCATCATCAGCAGCAGCAGCATCATCAGCATGATATGCATTATCAGCATCATCAGTATCAGCATCATCATCAGCCGCAGCATCGTCATCATCATCATCATCAGCATCATCATCATCATCATCATCAACATCAGCATCATCATCATCATCATCATCATCATCATCATCATCATCATCATATTCGTCTTCATCATCCACATCATCCGCATCATCATCATTAGCATCATCATAATCATCATCATCATCATCATCATCATCATCATCAGCAACAGCATCAGCATCTTCATCATCATCAGCCACATCATCATCATAAACGTCATCATCAGCAGCATCAGCAGCATCAGCAGCATCCTCATCATCAGCAGCATCATAATCAGCATCATCAGCATCATCAGCATCATCAGCATCCTCATCTTCATCATCATCATCGTCGTCGTCATCAGCATCATCATCGTGTCCCTCATTTTAGTGTTCCTCATATCGCGTATGATCATCAACATCCACCTCCTTCTCCTCTTCCTCTACTTCTTTTTCATCAGCATCATCAACATCAACATCAACATCCGCACCATCATCGTCATCATCGTCATCACCACCACCACCACCACCCTCATCACCATCATCGTCGTCATCAGCATCACCATCATCATCATCATCAGCATCATTATCATCATCATCATCATCATCATCATCATCATCATCATCATCATCATCATCATCATCATCATCATCATCATCATCTGCAGCATCATCATCACCTGCGTCCTCATCCTCATTCTAGCCATCCGTCCATCCATCCATCATACATACATCCTGTGTATCTTCGTGTTCCTCCTATCTCTCGGCCTGCTCCAGAATTACCCGAATTGAGCACTGGTCCTCGCTCTCCCAGGATCCTATCCAAGCGGGGCAGCTTTCTCCCGCATAGTTTGATCTGCCTATAGGACTCCAAAAGGTGATATTTGATATGGCGCTTTCCGCCGGAAAGTTTACGGTGTTTCAACATGGTGCTCTCGCCCCAGCGCGGGCCACAACTCTGGATCCGAATCCTTCCTCGTTACTGTCGCCCCGCACCTTCCCCCTAATCCGCTTTCCACTGGTCCTCCTGCTCCTCCCGCTCCTTCCACTCCTGCTTCTGCTGCCGCTGTTCCTCCTCGTTTTCGTTTTCCTTCCTCATCCTCATTCTCCTCACCCTGCTCATACTCTTGCTCGTCCGCCACCTCCTCATCCTCCCCCAATGTAGCCACACAACACGATGGGGTCCTTTGGGAGAGTCCAGGTCCGCTACGACACCCGTGGGCGGATAGGGGAAAATTAGCACAACAGGAAAGATGTGTGGGAGAGGTAGGATGTCAGATATGGCGCGAGGGCACCTAGCTGGTCCGTTCGCCTCCTCCTCATCCTCATCATCATGAGCAGCAGCAGCATCTTCATCAGCAGCATCATCTATCATCTTCCTTCTCCTCAGCACATCAGGTGACAATTCTCCACAGGTGCGTACCCTCCCCACGTCATCCGCCGGCAGCGCCATCGCCGCGGAGCAGCGCTGGATCGGTGGCAGCCCGGAAGAAGGCGAAAGCTCAAAAAATCTGCAAAAATTGCGCAAGTGGGCGAAGAACCAATGAGCATCGTTTAACCAGTCCCCGTCCCCACTTCGGCGGCGAGCGAGGAGGAGAAGTGAGGAGGAGAAGGCGGCGGGACTTCTCCGAAACTCTCGCGCCTTCTGAAAAATTGTTGCGTATTCGGCGAAGGCTTAGAGAACTTCACAGAAGGCCCAGGGCCTTCCGAACCTATTGAGAAGACCCAACCCTTCTCACTCACCCCCAGGCTCGCCGTCGAAAAGTTGCGCAAGTGGGCGAAGAAACAATGAGCATCGTTTAACCGATCCCCATCCCCACTGGCATCGCCCTGGCCGCACCGACCGATTTACCCACCCACATGGGGATGCGTGCTGTTAGCTTCGGGTTTTGCGGAGCCTATCCCCACCTGGTGGGGTGGGCTGGTTGGGCTGAGATACCATGGTCCAGTGGTGATGAGGATCGGTTAAACGATGCTGAAACAATGCGGTCACAGCGTGCGCGGTGCAGGCTTGCAAAATCATCGGCTGACCTATCGGCACGCTGGGCAGAACTGCACGCGCAGGCAGAATCGAGCTGCACCGATGGCGAAGCACTTGAGATGGTCATTCACTAGCGCGTGGATCAAAACGTTGCTGTAAGCTCTGGGCACAGAATGTCGGGTCCACACGCGACGTACTAGTCCATGCAACACTAACGAACAGAACTCGTGCTCAGCGTGCGCAAAACAAAGCGGACGAAAGAGTTTATCCAATCGCACGACTTGTCAAGCAGACGCACACGCCAAGCAGCACAGGCCAGCGTGGACAAGAGCGTGCTCGAGCACGGCTGCCAATCCCACCAACTTTTCAGGGAGACCCGTGGCCCGGGGCCTGCAGTGGGAGCTCGACCACAGGAAACCATCCACGAGAAACCCACCCCTGAGGCCTCAGGACGTCCATCGCTTTTTGATGTGGGAGCATCACGCTTTCCATAACAAAACCATCGAAGCCCAAGAACCCAAGGCGCCGTAGGGCACCCTGGAGGCAAGCAGGGCGTTTCTTGGCATGGGTTTTCACTGTAGGCAATTCCCTCACAAAGGCGCCGCCATGCAAGTGTTTCGATCCCTGGTGGGCGGGGCTTCCTCCTTCCCCTGCCCCGTCCTGGGAGGGCCATGTTCGGTGCCTTGCTGGGCATGGAGACGCATGCCTTCGTCGCTGGTGACGTATCCGCCGACCGTGTTGGCGTGTACCCGTCGGTCGAAAGAAGCTGGTAGAAACATGAACCGCCCACCCTCTGAAGAGGTGGAAAGAGGGAACACTGTCAGACTCTCGAAATAGGAAGGCACCTTAAGTAGATTGGGATCTGTATATGTATGAAAGTGAAGGAAAATGTTATATATATATATATATATACTAGAACCATCGCGCGCGCTTCGCGCGCGCTCAAGTTCTAGCGTATGAACTGCGACTGCGGTCACCCAACCGACGAGCAGAAGGAGTCAAACGAATTATCACTGTCAAGCTCATGATCGTCACCATCGTCACAGACGCCATTCCGAACATCGATATGTTCATCCTCATCATCATCATCATCATCATCATCATCATCATCACCATCATCATCATCATCATCATCAGCATCATCGTCATCGTCATCGTCTCAAACAGCATCGTCGCAAACAACATCTGCACCACCACCAACATTATTATCACCATCATCATCCTTACCATCATCATCTTCATCATCCTCATCATCATCATCATCAGCATCGTCATCAGCATCATCAACATCACCATCATCAGCAGCAGCATCAGAATCAGCATCATCATCACCATCATCATTGTGATCAACAGAAGGATCCTCACTGTGAGCAGCGCCGTCGTTAGCATCATCAACACAAGCAGAGTCATCATAGTAAAAATAATCATCGTCGTAGGCATCATCATCACCACCATCACCACCCCCATCAACATCACCATCATCATCATCACCACCATCACCATCATCACCATCATAAACACCATCATCACCATCATCATCATCATCATCAGCATCATCATCATCATCATCACAATCATCATCATCACCCTCAACAGCACCATCAACAGCACCATCATCATCATCATCATCGTCATCATCATCATCGTCGTGGTTGTCACCATCGACATCACCATTATCATGATCAGCATCATCATCAGCAGCACCATCATCATCAGCATCATCAGCATCATCCTCATCCTCATCAGCATCATCCTCATCATCATCATCATCAGCATCATCATCATCATTATCATCAGCAGCATCATCAGCATCAGCATCAGCATCATCATCAGCATCGCCATCAGCATCATCATCATCAGCATCAGCATCAGCATCACCGTCATGCTCATGACCATCATCGTCGTCATCGTCACGCGAGCGCTCTCTCGCATGACTTAACTCGCACTGCTGCACGATTGGGGCCCTTGGGGAGCCCTCGGCCTCCAAGGCCGCGCGGAAGGGCCATGAGAGGATCTCGGAACTGCTCCCGAAGAGGGCTCCAGAGGGCCCTAAGCGGATCTCGGAACAGCTCCCGAAGAGGGCCCTCGAGAGCAGCGATGGGCAAGTCACGCGCGCGCTCTCTCGCGCGACTTCACTCTCGCCGCTGTAGAAGCCCTCCGGGGGCGCTCCGACGCCGCGGTGGAGGGCCCGAGGTGGTCTCGAAGGGGCGCTGCAGGAAGGCCCTTCCTGGGCCGCTTCGGAGCAGTACCTGCAGCACGGATCCAAGCAGGACGGCGAGCACCCCGCATCGTGCCAAACTATCAAGGTGCTCGGTCCACGACGGGTTACCAAAGAAGCAACCGAGCGCTCGCATGAGTGCCGTCTACCACCCCCCCACCACCACCATCCGAATCATCCGACGGATCGCCCTGCCAAGCCCACCCCCCGTCCCTCCATACAATTGTAAGGCGATAGGGGCCCAACTCTGCAGCGTAGCTCTCCGCGGCAGGGAATCCGACCTGATCTGAAGGCAACAGCTGCAAGGCCCAGCCGCTATACACGCCACCGTGCCGCGAAACACGGGTTGACCTACAGGGCCTCGTGCCTCTCACCTGGCGCGCCTACCTGGATGCGTAGGCACAAGGCGCAACTCGTTCTAAACCTGCAGTTAACAAATGGCTCCAAAGGCGCTGCACGCAAGGTTCCCGACGGCCCAGAACACCCCCCAGACGCTCCAAGAGGGTTCCACGACGCCGCCCCCCAAAAAAACCTGATGGCACAAAACTAATTGGATTCCGGTTGGTTTGGGGTTGTTTCTGTTGGATTCTGCCTTTTCGGCCTGCGGACGCTCCACAACAGCCCCAGAAGGACCAGAGCTCGCCCCAAGACGGTTTCAGAGGCCCCCTCCAGGGCGCCACACTGCCCAAGAGGCCCCAAAGACGCCACAGAGACTTCCAGGACAGCCCCAAAAATGCACCAGATCGCTGGAACATCACCGCCAGACGCTCATCACGCCCTCCAGGTGGCCTCACCACTGACGACGACGAAGACGCGCAAAAGAAGCGGGCGAGGGGGACATGGGATGCAACTGGCACTCGGTAATGGAACGGCGTCGAGGGTCGGCAGGAGTGTCGCCAGGCGGCTTTGGGGAGCCTCTCCTAGGGCTTCCTGGGATCGGGGCCTTTTGGGGGCCTCTTGGAGGCCTCTGGGGAGCCGCTTGGGGCCCTCTTGGGGGCCTCGAGGGGCGGAAAGCTCGAAATATCGGTTCGTGTTCCCCTTTTGGGGTCCCTCTTGAGGCCGGCGTTCTTGGGCCCTCTTGGGCTGCCTTGGAGGCCTGTTGGGCCGCCGGGGGGGCGCCTCTTGCCCCCGTGGGTGCCTTTTGGGGCTCTCTTGGGCTGGCTTGTAGCTATCATGGGTCATCTTTGGTCCCTCTTATTTTTTAACGAAGAAGCCTCTAGGGTTCTCTTTCCTTCACGAGGCGAAGGGACCAAGGCGGTCGCCCCGCAGGACGAGCAGTTCACTCTCCAAGGTAGCCTTGGGTCTAGTCCCCTGCAGGTGGAAGCACCCATCTGCCGCGAGGCGTGCCAGGCACGCGGACGGGCAGCGCTTCCTGACGAGGGGGGCGAGCTCGGGCCAACCATCTGGAGCTGAAGACGCTCGAACCCCACAGTGCGGCAAGACGTGGGTGTCTCCTTGCCGTCACTCGGAGCCGAGCTTCAAAGATCTCTGACGGCTGGCTTGGCGGGCGAGGCGACGGGCATTTAAAGTGGCAAGAAAGGTGTCGATGCAAGCAGCGCGATTTAAAAGGGCTGACTGAGATACAGAGAACAAAAGCATACAGGAGGGGAACCAGGGAAACCTCACGGGGTCCGAATGCACACATATCTTGTCATGCAACCATTTCCGAATCAGGGTCTCGAGTTTGGGGCACTGGCGATAGTGGTGGATCGAGTCCGAATCGGGCATGTCAGGAGTATTGCACCCAAACACACATCCCATCGGGGCGGAGTGAAAGCGGGCAGATGTGCAAATAGAGCCAGTCAGCATACGTAGCGGCGCCATCCCCAGGTACATGGAGGTGGTCTCGCATACCACTCTGGTCGCCTTACACAGGCATGAAATGTGCGAGGCAGTGGCTGCTGGGTATAGTTTCGGAACTCTCCTCAACATCGTGCTTGAGACTGGTTCGCCATCTCGAATGGCACGGAACTCGAGGTAGAGTTTCTGCTGAAGCCGAGGGGAGGAGGCGTTAAGCTGGATGGAGAGTCCGAGACACCAGGAACGCATACGGCGAGCAAAACCTAAGAAAGGCGTACTATTCCAACCCATGTGCCAACGATACGGAATATGTTCCAGATCCGTTCTGGCGTCTTCCAGCGATTCCAAGACCCCGAAGAGAAATCGAGATTCCAGCATATATCTAGCATGCGTTGCCCTGGAGACAGCCGTAAGGTCGACGAACTCAGTACGGAAGCCGAGATCCGTTAGATGA